GGGTTCGTCGTTTCCCACCGCGACCAGAAACAGGTCGTCTCGCCCTGCAGCCCCAAGCACAGTCACAGGGCGGGGACGTGACGGCCGGCGAGCCGCAGGTTATTATCCCGGCTTTACGGAGGAGAGGCCACTTCCTCCAGCTCGCCCCTCTGCCCTTCATCTGCCTGACTCGTGTGCTTCGGGGTCGCCATGCTCGCTCCGCTTCCACAAGACCCTTGTCCCGGCTTACGGAGGAATTCATGCATCGGTAGACATCAGAGACCCTGCCTCAAAATAAAAAGTAAAAGAGGCCCGGGGATGTAGCTCAGTGGTACAGTGGAGGCGGATCTGTGGTCCGAGGGTGCCAGTGCCCTGGTGGGTTTGTCCCTCTGGCCTCTCCCCTTCTAGGCGGCTGCAGGTTGGCTGAGCGGCTCCCTCTGCATAAGGGTCCTCCCTCCTGGTCCCGGTCGCTCTGCTTTCTGCCCTGGGGTCGGCAGTGGCTCCCCTCTGCTGCCGCCCACAGGCTTCCCGCCGTCACTCCCGCTCTGTTCCTTCAACCCACCTCACTTTTGTGTCACCTTTACCAAACCCTCTGCAGGTCAATCCTCCGCTGGAACACGGAGGGTTTCGTCCATCACAGGAAATTCAAGTTCACTACCACGAGAGAGGAAAACGAACAGTGAATGAGCTGGAGACAGAGATGAGATTGTGGCATTGGCTTGAGAGAGGTCTGACGTAATGCAGACCAGAGATGACCGTGGCCTTGACAAAGCTATGCAGGAAGAAATGGGGACAAGCAGTAGGATTCGATTTCAAAGGCACAGTTAAGAAAATTGGCTCATGAATTATATGTACATTATGAGCAAGACACCCAGGCCGGGTGGTGCACTCCTGTAATCCCAGTACACAGGTGGCTGAGGCAGGAGGACTTCCATGAGTTAGAGGCCAGCCCGGGCTACATAGTGAGTTCAAGGCCAGAATGAACTACATAGTGAGACCCTGTCTCACAGAAAATAAATAAATAAATAAACAAACAAATAATAAAAATGAGCAACAGAGATTTCGCAGACCAAAGCAGGTGGAAATGATATATCTGGAGCCTGGCTGTGACTTGGGAGGGAAGCATGGTGGCTGTTTGAACTCCCGGGTTTAAACGAGGTGACCCGGGCAGGGAAGAAAATAGAACACAGCAAGGCACAGTACACAGTCCAGAACAGCACCAGTCGCTGGCAGGTGGGTAAAGGAAGCATTGCCATTTCGTGTCTATCAACTATATGATGGGCAACTCCAGAACTGGAGAACAGAGCTGGACACTTCCACGGCCGCCTTCTGTCCCATGGTGGCCGGCAAGGTGAAGGGCACACAGGCTTGTTATGAATGAACGTGACAGTTTCACATTTCTAACCGCCCCGCCCCCCCAGCCCCGAGAGGATCGAGTTACAGGTGGAGAGAAAGAGAGCCCGAGCGAAAGTGATCCCTTGTGGCCGGTCCATTGAAACCCGGGCCAAGGTTGATAGGCGCTGTGCTGGCCTGGAAAACTCGAGTAGAACGAGTCAGGTGACACCTTGGATCCCGAGCTGCGGGGCTCTTGCCGAGCAGGAAAATTTCCAGACAGGCGATTTCCTTCTTCTTCTTTAAGTAGTTGTAACAGTCAATCTCTGCAACATCCTTATTAGGTTTGTATATGGCAATCATGCCAGCGATGGAAGATCGCCACAGCCTCACACGCTGCTGACGGAGGCCAAAGGGATGAAGGTGTTTTTGGAAACTGTGTTTACCAAGCTCACTTATGACCCGGAAATTCCACTCCTAGATATATGTGCTAGTAGGCAGATATCCAATAAAAAGCCCCCTATGAGAGCGCTCTGATATCTTTATGTATAATACCGCCAAGTTGGAAATAGCGCAAGTATTCATCAGCTGAAGATCGATAAGCTATGCTGCAGTGTCCCCCGCCCCTTTTGATATCGGAGATTGAACCCAAGCCTTCACACTGAGCCACATCCCCAGCCCTTTTCAAAAATCTTTTTTATTTTGAGACAGGGTCTCACCAAGGCACGAAGTTGCCCAGTCTGGGCTTGAACTTACGATCCTCCTGCCTCAGCCTCCCAGAGTGCTGAGGTTGCAGACATGTACCACTACACGTGGCAAACTAAGGCAAATCCAAACAACATTAACAAAGAACGAACTGCTGATATGTACATGACAACATAGATACATCTGAGAAACTTTGTTGAGCAAAAGAAGCATCTGTACACAAAGAGTATAGGTGTAGGATTCCTTTTACATGAAATTCAAGCAGAGGCAAAGCAAATCTCTGACGGTAAGCATCAGTACAATGCTGTCCCTGAGGAGTGGGTTTGATTGGACTGGGGCACAGGGACCATAAGAATTCTGTTCTTCCCATACCCATGAATACATTCGACACATACGCACTGATTGAATGGAAGCTGGTCTGGGCGCTGGGGCTGTAACGGAATAAAGTAGGCCCAAGTCCGTGCCATTGTACAGATCGACTTTTTGAATGGACTGAGAATGTCAATACATTTTAAACTAAAGAAACAAAGGTCTTTTAAAAAAAATACAGCCGATGACAAGTTTGAGGCACTTTTTTCTCTTTTGTCCTTTTTTTGTTGTTGTTGCTATCAGGGATCAAACGCCGGCCCTTGTGCTTGAGAAGCAGGCAGCAGAACCACTGAGCTAAGTCCCAGTCCTATTGTTTGTCCTTTTGAGGCAGGGTCTCACTTGTAGTTCAGGCTGGCCTTGAACTCACTATGGAGCCCAGGCTGGCCTCGAACTTGAAGTGATCCTCCCATCTCAGCCTCCCAAGTGCTGGGATTGCAGGTGTGCGCCACTATGCCCGGCTCTTGGGGCCAGTTTTTAAAACCTCTTAAGCCTTACTTTTCTCATTTGCCATAGGCAATTGATGATACTTACCTTGTAGGATTTTTTATTTTTTTAAATACCAGACACATTATGGGAGCTCAGTAAGCATTAATTGGCTTATAATCAGTTTACAAGTAAAATTTTTAGTTTTACCCAGTGGGATATGAACATAGGGAAGCTATCTTAACTGAGAGAGGTAAGTATTTCCTTTTGCTGTTCCTCTTTTCTCTTTTGTGAACTGTGAATATGATGGCTGGAGTTTCAGCAGCCATTTTGGACCCAGAGGTAACCTAAAAGATGGCAGCCACATGTTGGGATGGTGGTCAAAAAGATGAAGAGTCTAGATCCCTTGTGACACTAGAGCTTCTATACCAGGCCTGGGGTGCCTTTACTTGGGAGGGAAATATTCTCTTATCTTGTTAGGTATCTATTGCAGCCAAACATGATCCCGATTTATGTACCTGGTGAGTGATCCTGAAGTTCTCCTATTTGTTCTTTATAGCATCAGGCACAACCGTGCAGGGACTAGATTGTTTGCTGACAAATCCCCAGATCTTTTAACAATATCTCTGGTTCTGGTAGATAGTAAGTGCTCAACAAAAATGGGAGAGAGAGGAGGAAACAGAGCTGCTTTAGATTATGCGAGGGGTCAGCTCACAAGAGAGCACACAAAGAGAGAGGAAGAGAGGAGAAGCTTTCACCCCACAGATCCACTTCTCTCTCTCCAGCTCCGCCTTTCTCTCCCATTAATCGAGACATTCTGGAGATTAATCAGGATCTACTCCAGCTCTCCTATGAGATTTGGTTCGCCAGGTGCCTGTTCCTCACCTGACTCCCAGGTAACAGTGTCCTGCATCCCACGCCCAGCGGATCAGTCATCCCTCCAGGAGGCTGTGGCACCATCCTGCGGTCTGCATGGGCCACAGGTTCTTTGCTTCATCTCAGACAAATGGCTGAGAAGCGATCTGATCAGCACCACATTTGACCCTGTTTAGAAGACAAATGATGTAGGTTTTGATGTTTTTTTTCATTCTAAAAATTGGCCTTGGCCTTTAGCTATAATTTGAAAACAAAAGCATAAATACAATTATTCTCTGTTTCAATCTCAGGATCCAGAGATCACCACTATTCCTTATGTTGGTATATTTTATTGATATGTCTTTATATATATATATACATATATATATAATATATGAATATCAGAGTACACAAGTGTGTGTGTGTGTGTGTGTGTGTGTGTGTGTGTGTGTGTGTGGGATGCTTGAGGTCAAACCCAGGGCCTCACACATGCCAGACAAATACTCTACCACTGGGCTACACCCCAGTCTTTGTAAGATCAGACTTATCACCAGGCTCATGAGAGCTACAGGTGAGCGGAGAAGAATAAAGCTAGATGACAACACTCAGAAGGAAGGAGAAAAGGAAACGTGGAAAATGAGTAGCTTCAGGAGCACGTACCCTCTTCCCTTGTTCACAAGTCCACAGGAACCGCCCTGGGGGTTCCAGGAAGTCTACGGGGTGGGGGGTGTGGGGGGATTTAGCTCAGTGGTGCCACCGCCTGCTTCCAAGCGCAAGAACCAGAGTTCGATCCCTGGTACCAAAAAAAGAAAAAGAAACAATGGTAACCGAGTTATTAAGTTGTTAAGCAGCTGATCTGCTAAAAGGAATCCTCTGGGGCTGTGGAGGGGCAATTGCAGGAGCACCTACCTTTCCCTGGGTGATGGGAACCGGGGAAGAGGTTGGCGTTGTTTACCCTCAGATAGTAAGAGGACACTGGTACACAACAGGATGAAGTATACACGTGCTACCACCTGGGAGTCCTGAAAATGTGCTAAATCAATGAAGCCTGTCAGTCACCCACCTGCTACAGGATTTCACGAAGATGAAAGTCCAGGGAATATATTTGTGGTTGCCCAGGGCTAGGGGGGAAGGATACGGGAATGAGGGAGTACAGGGAGGAGATAGCTAAAGACAATGAGCTTTCATTTTTAAAAACTGTGGTAAAATAAGCAGAACATAAAATTCATCTTTTTTTTTTGAGACAGGGACTTGCTGTGTAGTTCAGGCCAGCCTTGAACTCACTGTGTAGCCCAGGCCAGCCTCAAAATCACAGTGATCCTCCTGCCTCAGCCTCCCAAGTGCTTACAGGTGTGTGCCACTATACCCGGCAAAATTCATTGTTTTAAAGTGTTTGTGTAGTGAGTTCCAGGTCAGGCTCAACTACATAGTGAGACCCTGTCTCAAAAAGAAAGAAAGTGTAGTTTGGGGCACTAGGCACATTCACACTGTTGTGTGCATAACTACCACACCACCCATCTCCGGAACTCCTTTGGTCTTGCAGACCTCAAGCTCAGTACTCGTTAGCCATCAACTCCCCATCTCCCCTGGCAATCCCAGCCTGCCTTGAGTTTGCTGTCCTGGTTCCTCACCCAGGAACATCTGTCCTCTTGTGCCTTATTTACTCCACTAGGCATAGTCTCTCCAAGGTTAATTTGTATTGTACGATGTGTCAAAAATGCCTTCCTTCTTCCAGCTGGATAATATTTCCTCGTGTGTACGAAGCACATTTTGTGTCTCCATTTAACTCTCTATGGATACTGGCAATGGATACTTGAGTTGCCTCTATCTTGGTCATTGTTGACAGTGCTGCTATGAATGTTGGTGTACAAATATGTGTTTGAACACCAATTATCTGCTTTCACTGTTTTTGGTGCGTAAATTCAGAGGTGGAACTCCTGGATCTTATGATTTTTTTTTCCTCTGGTGGTGATGGTGGTGGTAATACTGGGGATTGAACCCAGAGCTTTAACAATGAACTATATCCTCAACCATTTTTATTTTTTATTTTGAGACAGGGTCTTGCTAAATTGTCCAGGCTGGGCTCAAAATTGAGATACTCATGCCTCAACCTCTCAATGGGCTGGGATTATGGACGTTCACCACTACACCCAGCTAGTAATTCTATTTTTCAGTTTGTTGTTCTTTTCTGTTGTTGTTTTTTATTATTTGATATTTTTGGTGTTTTTTTTTTTTTTTTTTTTTTGGGTGACAGGGTCTCACTGCATAGTTGAGACTGACCTGGAACTCACTGTGTAGCCCAGGCTGGTCTCAAACTCATAGTGCTCCTCCTGCCTCAGCCTCCCGACTGCTGGGATTATAGGTGTGCGCCACCATACCCGGCTATGTTATTGTTTTTTAAACAGCATACTTTAGGCTGCTCTTAAACTCACTATAGGGCCCACGCTAGCCTCAAACTTGCAGTGATCCTCCTACCTCAGCCTCTTCAGGGATGGGATTACAGGCGTGTGCAGCATACCGCACCTATTTTTAAATTTTGAGAAACAGCATACTATTTTCCATAGTGACTACATCATCTTGATTCTCACCAGCAGGAGTACATGAGGGTTCTGGTTTCTCCAGATCCTCAACATTTGTTCTTTCCTCTTTCTTTTTTCGTTTTTTGAGATGAAAATGTCCTAAAGTTGTCTGGTGATGGTTTTATCACTGGGCAGGGTCTAGGGAGGTTCCCCAAGAAGGAGGCAAAGAACCTCTACTCATCCTACATACAGAATAAATCTTTTGATTTCTATCACAGAAAAAGAATTTTCAGAACTAATCAGTATGAGGCACAAAAGAGATTTATTTAGAAGAAAAAAGTACACACTCCAGGACTACGGGGTTTCAGAGAATAAGATGCACTATTTTCTGGAGCTGGAAGTATTTATATTTATTTCTTTTTGAGACCGGGTCTTGTTGTATAGTCCAGGCTGATCTGAACAGTGTAGTAGTCCAGGCTGGCTTCGAACTAGTGGCAATCCTCCTGCCTCGGCCTCCTGCTTGTTGGGATTATAGGCACCACCATACCTGGCTAATCTAAGATATTTTGCCTAAAATTATTCTTTGAACTCTGTCGGTCTGTTCCTTTATCTTAAGATTAGGTTTCTGCCCTTTATCAACTAAGCTAATTTGTAGATTTAAAGTATCTTTAAGGACTTAGGGTGTGATAGGCCTGAAAGAAAGAAAGCATAAACAAGCCCAGGAAGTACAGATATGGATGAATTGAATTAATTTTCCTTGGCTCTTTTCTACCTATCTTCATTTCTTCTCTCCTATGTCAGTGTCACACATCTGAGACTTTACTAAAAACTACTGAACCGCACTCTATTTTTGTGATGCCTCACAAATGCTAGGCAAGTGCTCTACCGCTGAGCTATACTCCTGGCCCTGACGTCTGTGCTTTCAATGAGTAAATTATTATTATTATTATTATTTTGTTTTTGTTTTTTTGAGACAGGGTCCATGTCGTTGAGGCTGACCTGGAACTCAATATGTAGCCCAGGCTGGTCTTGAACTCACAGCGATCCTCCTGCCTCAATCTCCCGAGTGCTGGGATTACAGGCGTGCACCACCATGCCCAGCATTCAATGAGTAAATTATAATGTTACACGGACTCTAGAAGATCAGAGCCAGCTTTTCAGTGCTGAGACAAAATATCTGACATAACGCAAATTAAAAGAGCTAGGATTAATTTGGGATCCTGGTTTGAATCGTCGGTCAGCTGGCTCCAACGTGGGGGGAGCAGTGTGACATTAGAAAGCGGCTCCCTTTCTGGCAGCTGGAAGCAGAGAGAGCAGGAAGAGAGCCAGAGGGTGAGGAAAGAGCGCATCTGTCCAGGTAACATCTCCAGTGACCCACTTGTCCCCACGCCTAGAGACGCACACCTGCAGCTGACATTGTGACGGTGTCCGTTTCATGGCTTGCATTTATTTTATATAGAGAACCCTGATGTTCTATTAGATGCATTTCAAAATTTAAAAAGGTCATGGTAGATCACAGGGCGTACGGGCCAAACACAATGTTTCCCTTACACTAGAGGCCCAGACTTTGTTTCCCCTCTTTTTTTTTTTTTGACAAAGAAAGCTGAATTTATTTTGTAGCAAAAGGAATAAAAATGAAATATATTAAACAGAGCAAGCTTAACTACAGAGTCATCAACCTTTTGCCAGTCTCTAATTTTAAAAGCTTACTGTTTCATGAAATTAGAAAGTAAAGGGCTGGGGATTTAGCTCGGTGGTTCCACCGTCTGCCTTGCAAGCGCAGGGACCCGAGTTCGATCCCGGTACCAAAAAAAAAAAGTAAAGACTCATCAAAATCAAGGAACAACTGAATAATCTCTACTTTAGAGTTGTGCTGTTCCATTAAACAACGTCTGAGTCTCCTGGATGATTCTAAAATCCCTCCCCGCTTCAGGACAGGCTGAACTGACACTCAGTACTTGGAGACTCAGGGCAGGACTTTCTATCCCCAGCCTCCCAGGACCGTGACTCCCTTCCTGCCCAGACACATGGCAGACCTCATGCACCCAGAACCCCACTCCAGCACCCCCAGAAAGGCAATGCAACTGAGAGACCAGCTTGGGTCTGTTCAGCTATTTGACCTGTGCCTCAGTTTCTGTAAAACAGGGATAAGATGAACACTTACCTCAGGGATTGTTATAAAGGAGAAATAAGACGTACATGAGCTGTTTTTTGTTGTTGTTACTTCGTTTTTAACATGGGTTTTTTTTTGTTTTGTTTTGTTTTTTTTTGTTTTTTTTTTTTGTTGAGACGGGGTCTCACTTTGTAGTGCAGGCTGGCCTTGAACTTGCAATGATACTCTTGCCTCAGCCTCCCGAGTGCTGGATTACTGGCGTGCAGCAGCATGCCTGGCTCATGAGGTCTTAATGTATTGTGTAGTATATTGTGAGTGCTTAATAAACATATGCGTGCTGTGTACATGACGACATGTATAGATGGTGTGACTATGTAGGCATGAGACCGTCTGCTCTTGTGAGCTGGAAACCCAGAGAGAAGAGTCATACATGTATGGCATTGCTTTAAAAAAGCCACAAGGGTTTAAAAAGCTTTGAGGCAGGCATGGTGGTACACAGAGGCCCCAATCCCAGCACTCGGGCAGCTGAGGAAGGACTGTGAGTCTCAGCCAGCCCAGTGGGACACACCTGTGATCCCAGCATTTGGGAGGCTGAGGGGAGAAGGATCCTCATGAGTTCAAGGCCAGCTTGAGCTACATAGTGAGACCCTGTCTCGAAAAATCAAAGGGCAGGGGCAGCTAGGGATGTAGTCAGTGGGAGAGCATGGGTTCAATCCCCACCATCACCACACACACAAAACACAAAACCAAGCAGTGTGGCCAGAGTCTATGCTTTTAACCACTGTAAGGGGGTTAAAAGAGCTCAATTCAGCCTCCACTGCAACCACAGGCACCTTAGGATCTGCAATGTTTAACATAACAGCCACTAGCTATATATGTGATTTAAATTAATTAAAATTAAGGAAAGCAGAAATTCAGCTCCTTGGTCATGCTCGCCATATTTAACAGGCCCAAGGTATCCCTGTGGAGAGTGGCTGTCATACTGGGCAGCCCTATCATCACAGGACGTTGTCTTAGGTCAGGCTCCTCTAGCCAATTCTAGAAAATATTAGCCAAACAAAAGACTCCAACTCAACATGTACTGCATGATTTTTTTTAATTAAATACACTTTATAATGTTTTTTGCACCTAGTACACATTTATTGAAAAATAAGACATGCCATACAAGTCATGAAGTTAACAAAATATAAGCATCCACACAGAATATATTCTAAAGTGACTTCATTTACACAGCTTCTCAGAGAAACACTCAAGCGACCTTTTGACTATCAGCCAGTGAGGGACCGAAAACCCAGGCGGCTTCAGGGCGTGTTCTCCAAGGTCACTTCGATGTCTCCTGCGTCCACACAGCGGCATCAGAAGGAGATGTCAGTCCTCCCTTCCCTCCTCAGCATTCACTTCCACCCTGCAACCCCCCATAACCTAAAGCTTAAAGTGAGGGCCTCCTCAGACCTGCAGTGTCGGCAGGTGGGGAGTTGAGGCCGGTCTAAGCAGAATGCCGAGTCCCAGGCTGTGGAATAAAACGGTATGGGGCAGGTGGGCGGGGAAGGCCGGAGAACAGCTGCGGTCGACCTTGGTTTGGGTATCTCACTTCCTACCTAGGAAGGAGATGGTGGCTTGGGGATGTTGGAGCCACACCTGACAATAAAGCAGCAGGGCTGTGTGTGGAAGACCGTTACTCCCTTCCCGTCCCAGCAGCCCGGGCAGCACTGCCAGCAGTGGACGGTCCATTTACACCCGGGACAGATCCCACGAGAGGTGAGTCAGAGACACCTCAGAACTCAGATGACGACAATAGCTCTGCAGGGACTCTGTTAACCGGATTCCCATGCAGCCAAGCCCTGGCCTCCACTCAGTAAACTACCGTATGGCTTTCTGCTCAGCCCATGTGGTTCAGTTTTGCGGGGTGACGCCCTTGCCCCAAACGCAAAGGCAGGGTGCTGCACAGGGCTCAGGGAAGTTCCTGGGTGACACTGTGCCCTGGATCTGCAGCAATACCTAAAGTTACAGCAGACTCCTGCCCATTTATCTCCAGAAAGCTGGCTGGCCCAGCGCCCAACAGCCAGTAACAAAACGGGAAAGGTGTTCGAGGAAGGTTGGGAGCACAATGTATCACCCCAAATTCTTACTGATCCCCTGGGTTTAACATGTTTAAATAATCTCCTGCTCACCTCATGTCCATTCTATCCTGACCCCCAGACTTAGAAAAATCATCTGGGAAATGAGGGACATTTGAATAGCAGTGAAACCTGACTTTAATTTTCCTTTTGTGAGTTGTTCTTGCAGGCTCACAGCTTGACCTTGAAGGTAGCTTATTACCCCTTCTGTGTCTTCCTCCACTGTGAATAGTCTCCTTTCCAATCACTGCAGATCCTGTCACTCTGTTCCTCGTGAACCATCAAAAGCTCCCGTCTTCCCCAGGTATTCAACCCGCCAGGATCCGGCCTCCATTGCTGATCTTATAAGGCTCAACTCCCACCATCCTCCCTGGCTCTTCTTTGACAACCCCACCTCCTCATCCCTGTGCCTTTGGAAATGCTGGCCCCTCTGCCTGGAAGTGGAGGATCACCCCACTATGCTTGGTGCAAATCATAGCTGGCTTTGCCACCATCATCAGTGGAGCCCGAATCATCTCCAGTTCTGAACAGCTTTGGGTTCAAGACCACTGTGACTGTCACTTCCTGCCACTGCCCACCCTGCCAGAGACGCCTGGGCCACTATGTCTCCTCCTGCTGGCCTGGACGGTAGGCACTGTATCTTATGTTTGTAGCTTTGCCCTCTAATGTTTAACATACAGTAAATGCCCCAACAATATTACTGAATGGAGTGGTACTGTTCTTAAGGGGTAAAGCCCCTTGTCTGTTGCCTTCTTGGGCATTTATGATGCAATACAGAAGTGGCCAAGATAAAATATGAGGTGCTGATCCCAGGCAACGATGGCAGAGCTTTGCAAGTCAGGGTCCTGCATTGGTACTGAGCGCAGTCTAGAGGGTAAGTGCTGGCTAACACTGGTCTGGTAACACTGGTATCTTGCCTGTTAGTTAAAGGCTGTCTAAGGAGGCAGGAAGCTAGTTCTAAGTGGGATTTACTAAGTGGAGAAACGCCACAGATCCTCTGGGGCTATTTCACCTGCCAGAGGAATTCCAAGAGGAAACGGAACTGTAATTGTAACTTTCTGGCACGGGTGTATGTGTAGGGGGGCGGCGTCTCAGTGGTGTCTTCTCGGGTTAGGAGGCTTTTGAGGGGTGTGAACACTGGGTATTAGCATCATAATCCCCTGTGGTGCCAGTTCAAAGTGCAGATGCTTAGGTTCCAGCCCAATCCTACTTAACCTGAGTCTGCAATTGGGGGTGTAAGAATTTGTATTTTAAGTAAATTTGAGGGGATCCTCATTCTTATTAAAGTTTGCAAATCTTTTCCTGCCATTCTCAGAAGTACACAGCCTGGGGCAGTGATGGCAAACCTTTTAGAGCTTGCAATGATGCAAACAGATCGCTGCAGCATGAGTGCCATAGGTTTGCCACCACTGGCCTAGGGGAAGACAGTCATGTGCGAGGGCTTCACTGGGTCACAGTGCTCAGCCAAAGACCCAGACAGTCTCGCAACTGCGGGGAAATGAACCAACAACTTGGAGCTGATTTGTGGGTCTATAAAGTAAGGACGGAGGGGAAGTGGGAGAGGTTGACTTCCAAGTGAGCCCTCTGATCTTCCCAGAGGGTGCCAGTGTGCAGGGGAAAAGTAACAGATCAAACAGCCAGATTTCCTGCCTATCGTTCATAAAGATGGGCAGGAAGATTAAGAGGGAATTTTCTCCCTGAATGGGCTCAAGTATCATGGCCCTTGCTCCCAGCCCTCTAGTTTTTCTTTCTTCTGTTTTTTCCCAGCTCCTTGGCGGGAGCCGGGGTAGGATCAAGTAGTTCTCCGAGAACAAAAACCGGGTTTGTTTTTGGAGATGATCCAAAATAAACACACACTACCATCCTCACTGGAGAGGCATGGACAGAAGGCAGATGCACACTGCTAAGACGCCAATGACTGCGTGTTCAGGGCTGGTCTGCTGTGCGGTGTGAAAGGGGGACACGAATACTGTCCAAACCAGGGACTGGTGAGTGAGATGACAGAGACAAGGCATGCACAGGAGGTGGCAAAAGACCAGCGCTCGCGGTCTCCAGACTGAGGTCAGGGTGGAATCCCTGTCTTATTTTCACTCTGAACAATGTGGCATTGGCTTTGGTCACGGGCTGGAAAGCCCAGTGACTGTCTCTGAGGAGGTGAAAGGGCTCCCAATTCTGCTGGACTAAGCCCACCTGGAATTCTGCTTTCACGCAGCTCCCCCCGAGAAATTTGAAATTCCAAGACCAAGGGAATGTGTGCTTGCCAGAGACCAAGGCTTTCCAAGATCTGCTTCCACAGAACTTGCAATCTGAATGGTAAGACTGGGAAGGCAAGTTGTCGAAAGAAGGGTGGAGCCACCGTCGCCTGGTCTGAGCAGCAAGGGGAAGGCAAATCACGCGGGGGTGGCTCATTCCTTCTTGCTGTGCTCCAGGACACAGTAGGGAACCCCAGGGGTGCTTCTGGAGCCATGTTCTTCTTGCATGACTGGCAGTGTGGCAGGAGTGTAGATCTCGGATATGCTGTCATTGTTTTCCAGGGCCCCGTAGGAAAAAGAAGCTCTGAGGTCGGGCTGGACTGTCATGCCCTTGTCGTGCATGTTTTGCATACCTGGAAGGAAATCCATTTCCCTGTCAGGACAGGGTGAGGGGCCTGGGGGGGCCTGTACCTGCCTCTGTCCCACCACTGACTCCTAGGGAGCACAGGGGCTGGTCATGCGCACGGTCAATTTCCTCAATGCTTCAGACTCAAGAGAACACCCCCATTAATACACACTAGAAATCTTACAGTTGCTAGGCAACAGGGACACATCTTCAGGAAAAGTTGCGTACACACCAGCCCTTGTGGGCCGGGCCGAGGTGGGGTGGGACAGCACTGTGCTTTGGACGTGGTAGTTGCCGACTCGTCACTGCTGAATCAGCTCAGGATGGGACTCATCACGCTGCTGAGGGGAGAGGGCCAGATGGCGAAGGCCAAATCGTGGTGCTTAGGGAGGGTCTGACCTTTAGTATCAACATTCCTGGTGCAAATGCAAGGTGAGGTAAGATGTGACTCTACCTACTTCTGGGCGCATGACTTTGGGTTTCTACCTACATTTGAGGGCAAAGACCTTCATCTTTCATCCCTGTAACTTTCCCTATAACTCTCCCGTCAGGAGGGACTTAGTTACTTTGGAGGACAACTCTTTTCCTGCCAGGGAATGAAGGCCCTCAGGTTCTCCTGCCTGCAGGCAGTGTCAGAAGAAACAACAGTGTATTCCTCAGAACTCTGCTGCCATCTGACTGCTTGATGTGCCCTCGGCACTGAGCTAAGTGGTGCCAGTCCCAGGCACAGCAGTAATGATAATGACTACAATGTATGAGTGTTTACACAGTGGTATGCTGGCTGGGCATGGTGGTGGCACATGGTAGGCTGAGGCAGGAGGATCAAAAATTCAAGCCCTGCCCAAGCAATTTAGTGACTTAGCAAGACCCTATCTAAAAAACAGAATGGCCGAGCTGTGGCTCAGTACAAAGGACCTAGGTTTAATCCCTAGTTAATGGAAAAACAAAACAAAACCCCAAAGCCAAACAAAAACAAAGCCCAAAAGGAAACAAAATAAAAAACTGGAATGCTGTGTGGCTTCCCTTGGGGATCTACACTCAGTCCCCAAACAATCCTATGACAAAGATGAGTGTCCACCTCATTTTCTGGAGAAGAAAACAGAGTCTTGAGAGGTGAAGTGACTTTCCATGGACAGGCAGCTGATGAGAGACAGCTGAGATCTAACATCAGAGCCTGTGTTCCATGCAGTTCGCAGATGGCCTGGGAAGACCCAGTCTGTGGCAGGGGCCCCGCCTCCATATCTCACAAGGCCCAGAGATGGGCACCTGAAGGCCAGTTTCAATGTCTGAGCTTTGGATTTTGGGGGGAGAGGGATAAGGGGTACCTGTTCCTCAGGGAACAGAGCTGGCTCACCGAGTGCTGTTTAGCTGTTGAATTTTGTCAGTGTCTGCCTGCCAGAGACCACCAGGAATCCACCTCTGGTCTAACAAGCTGGCATGTACTGACTCACTGCAAGGTGATGTGCACCGCAGAGAGTCACAGGTGAGTGATAAGGGGCATGAGAAGGCTCTGTTAGGGAATTTGGGCTTGGCTTGGGTGATTTGAGAGGGGGGTCAAGGAAGTGAGTCTTTGCTTTGGACTCAAGCTGTTAGGAAGCGGGGACACCTCTGTAACCAGGGGTCTTTAACAAGGAAGAGCAGATGGAGCTAAAGTGCTGGTAGGCACAGCAGCAAGTGCACATTAACCAGAGCGGGGCCCTTTTTGGTGGCTTGGACAGTGTTCCCATTTTGTCTGTGTTCAGACCTGAGGGAATGGTCCTGCTCATGCGGGGACCGATCACGGCCAGAGTGGCCCTGTCGGATGCTGGTGTTCTGTGAAATAGTATCTGTTCACGCCTGTGACATCACAGCAAGCAGAGGGCCCGGTCAGCTGCCAGAGGATAGGGCTGCTCCTCTTTTTCTCCAGGGTCTCACAATGGAGTTCAGGCTGGCCTCAGCCTCTTGGGGCTTGCAGGCAGGCACCACCACATCCAGCTTCTCATGTTTAAAAGGCTTTGGGGGCTGGGGCGGCACCTTGGTAGTGGAGCACTTGCCCGGTATGTGCAAGGCCCTGGGTTAGATTCCCTAGCACTGTGGGGGAAAAAAAAAAACCCAAAACCAAAAAAAAAACCCCAAAATAAAGGCTTCAGCTTCTTGATACTTGAAGCTTCTCCATATTATGACCTGTTGAGTACTTTTAGAATCTGAAGGCGCTGAAGACCTCCTGAACATCAGCTACTGGTCCATTATACCAACCTAGACAGACAAAAGGCCAATTCCTCTTGCTAACGGGGTTGCAGGAAAAATGCCTCTCCCTAAGCTTACAATATCAGGCAGTTTTATCCTGCATGTGCTACCCGGCACCAGGGCAAACAAGTGTTTGAGACTTTCAAAGTTTGTTAAAGCAAAAGGAAAGTGAAACCAATGTAACCAGGCATCTACCATATCCCAGACACAGTGCAAAGAGGCCTCTGCAATCAATGTGAACCCACCACCCTGAGAGCAAGAATCCCATTTTACAGGTGAGAATGAGAAGCCTCGGGAGGCCACGAGGCAGGTGGATGGCAGAACTGGGGTTTGAGTCCAGGTCACCTGAACTCAAGCCCCGTGCATTGAATCAGAGATGTCCCCACAACCACTGCAATAGGGCTGGGTCCCCACTCTTTTAACATCTGATTCCCACTGGTCACAAGGTACAAAGGAAAAGCCAAGAGCCACACCCACAAGCAGGCCACGGAATGTTGATAGCTAAGATTACCTGAGATTACCTTCTACTTTTGCCACCGTAAAATATGTCTGTATATACATGTATACACAAACATTTGTATAGATATACACGCACGTATAGTTATAGGCACACAGACACACATAAACATACAAATACTGGCACACAGAGTTAACACCTCACCTATCTGGAATTCAGCTATCCAGCGCCCTCATCTATCCGGAACACAACCAAGAAACAAGGAAGTGAGCAAAAAAGGCATCTGAGCAGCCAGATTAGATGTTTAAAAAGTCCATGCATTAAAAGCCCATGCATTTAACTCCTGGGAGAAACCTCAGGTCCCCAACTCGGAGCTCCTTCACCGTGGGTTTATACACAATCTGAAAGGGTGGGGAAGACAGGAGACTGACATGGAAATCACTATACTTGGGAGGCTGGTCACAGTGTGAATGGCAGACAACAGCTTAATGGCACAAGAGGAGGAAAGGACAGGAAAAGGAGACAATAAACGAATGTATGGGGGTTGTTTGATATGCGGGCGCCTCCGCCCACCCCGAGAACACGGTGGCGTCACAGCCCAGGGACTTAAGAGCTGCTCTTCACAAAGCAGTCGTCTGCGCCACCGGCGGTGTCTAAATTTTGTTTACTAGACCGTGTTAATGGAGAGTGGGCTACTCTGTTTGGCAGAGTTCCGTCTTACCTATTTAAAATAAAAATTAACTGAGTTAACCTGGAGAATTTTGGTCGGCAAAGTCTTCATCTCCAGATCCGACTTCCTTTAAGCCGGACAGGCACCCTGTAGTCCTCCCTGGCTCCCATCCCCTCGCCCCCCGCTGTGCAGTATTCGGCTGAGTGTTTTCATGACTGTCAGACTGAAGGCAGCTGAGCTTGTGTTGCTCCGTGTGAACTCTCAGCTCCCCGGAAAATGAGAGCGGCCTATGGAATCCAAGCAGTGAATTTCACTCATCCTATTTTCCTCTCTGATCATTCCATTCCAAGGAGAGGGATGGATTTTTCCATTTGTAGGCATGGAGCCTGGTGCTACAGATCATAATTACATCCAGTGTGAATAAGGATTTTCTTGAAAAGATCCCAAAATAGACATGGGAATTGGTGAGATATGCTCAGAACCAACCGAGGCGCCCTTGCCATTGCTTCCTCTTTCGCATGAGATTAAAAAAAAAAAAAAAAAAGACAGCGAGAGCACAGCCACACCATGAGACACTGCACACCTTTCCTGTGCCACGCCCAGCGCCGCTGTCCTGTTTTCAACAGGAAGCCGTGGTCACTCTATGTGGACGGCCAGCTGGACACACGGGGCGCTCACGTTACCTGGCATGGCATCCATGGAAATGTAGGGTTCAAATGGAATGGTCTTCTTTCTGTTCCGCGTGATTAAGAAGACGCCCAAGAAGGCGATGAGGCACCTGAGGAAGGGGGACAAGAGATACAAGGGAGGAAGGTGGGGGCTTGAGAGGGACCTGTGCAACAGTAGGGGGAAGGGGTAGGTGAAAGAAGCCTGCAGAAGAGCTGCTCCAAGGAGAAGCCCTGAGGGGCCGCAGGCCTGAGATCAGCAGGTGGCAGATGCTGGGTGAGTTACACAGCTGAGCACCCCCATGCCCTACACTCCATTTAGGTCATAATCAGAATAAATTAGACTCTGGGGAAAGCTTTCACTTCTACTCAGCCAATACTTCCAGAACCTTGCTTTAAAAAATGTTCTTTACATATGATTTATGCATACAACACTGAATTAGTACATTAGTATAGAATAGTAAACATTGGTAAAAATTGGTAAGCCCTTGTACCCCGAATTCTACTTCAGCAGGTAGGTATATATTTTTTCAGAGTATTTTTTTGTTTTCTTTTCTTTTCCTTGTAAGCGTATGTAAACAAGCACAGTTTCTAAACACTGAGGTAGAATTTTTATACACTAAAAGCACAAACACAGCTGGGTGTGGTGGCACTCTTGGGAGGCTGAGGCAGGGGGACTGAAAGTTTGAGCCCATCCTGAACAACTTAGGGAGACTTTGTATCAAAATAAAAAAACAAAACAAGAAAAGGGGGATGAGGACGCAGCTCGGCAAAGGCCCTGGTTCAATCTACAGCATTGGAAAAGGAAAAAAACCAAAACAGAACAAAAGCGGAAGCCTCAAATGGTCAGGGGGATGAAATTTACCTAGAGGTACACTTGGGGAATCACCTCCCAGGTTAAGGCAGGAATATTTCTATCCTTTCACAGGCTTCCTGCATCCCTTCCCTGTTTACTCCAAGCTTTTGTCAGAGGTGATCGCTGATTTGCTTTTCTCACTTCTTATGAGTTAACTCTTGAGCGCGTGCTCTTATACCCAGTGTGACTGCTAAGACCCACTGACTTTATTGCATGTACTAATTCATTAGTTTTAATTGTTGTGTGGAATCCACTGTCTGAATATTCTAACACTTTTGCTGTTCCCCTCCTGTCGGTAGACATTTAGGTTGTTCGCAGTTTGGGCCTATGAGGAATAAAGCAACTACAGATTCTCCTGCATGAGTCCTTCTGTCCATACCCACACTCATTTCTTAGGGGAAAACCTAGAAACGGAAACCTACCCTTCTTTTTTTAACGGGTAAGCCACATTTTTTTAAAAAAGTCTGTAACATTTGTGAATGCTTTTCATTGACCGTGTTCCTAGATGTACCTGTGGGCTGGTCTCCTTTTCGAATCAGCAGCCCACTCTGTTATATGGACATACCATGACTCCTTCAACCTGCAGTCTACCGCTGGGCCTTCAGGCTGCTTCCGATTGTCAGCTTATACATATGATACATTAAATAACAATGAACAGCCTCAGCTATTATCTTTGTGTCCCCATTCAAATGCTTTCACAGGGTAAATGACTGAAATTGGAATACTGCATCCAAAGATGCGCTCATTTAAAGTTATTACTGATGCTGCCACATTGTCCTCCAGCCTAACTCGCTACTCAGTGTGACAGGCAGTGGCTGGTCTCCTTGTCCTCTTGCCAGCATGGAGTATTATCAGTCCTGCTGGGTTTTGCAAATGACTCTAAAGGACCCAGCGTCGAAGCAATCATAGGGACAGGGCCACCTCCCCGGAGTGGACTCCACATGCACACCTGGGCAGTAGCAGGTGACTCACCCCAGTGCAAACATGCAGATGTGCAGCACATCCTCCCCGACGAAGTCCAGGTAAAATATCGCACCTGCAGGGAGGAAGAGGAAAGACCAGTGAGCTGCTTCCCGAGCAACGGCATGCCAGTCTGACTAGGATTTGGCTAAGCTCTTCCCTGTGGGGAACCAGAGTGGTCAGAAATATTGTGAGTACGACCATGGCTGCAAAACAATAGAAGGAGGGACCCTGAGCCTTCAGGGGAACAGTTTCTCTTCATCCCTCGATGCCCCTAGGCTTCTCTTATCTCTGTCTTTTTTCTGACTTTTTAGTTTGAGAGGACACTAGACTCACAAAAATAGCCCACAGCTCCCATGCACCTCTTCTCAAGTTTTCGTACCATAGCGTATGGTCAAAAGGAAAATGACAGTGACTGAGTAGACTACAGACTTAACTTTTTCTTTTTCCTTTTGTTGCAGTATTGAGAATTGCACCCAGGGCTTTTGAACTGTTACATCTCCAGCTTATTAAAAAAAAAAAATATATATATATGTATTTATCAGTTTTTACACACATACAAGTGCACGAGTTCACATACAAGCACCTCCCATCCTCCACATTTGTTAAGATGGACAAACAAGCTGCACGTGGTGGCGCACACCTGTAATCTCAGCACTGGGAGGCTGAGGCAGGAGGATCGCTGTGAGTTCAAGACCAGCCTGGGCTATGTAGTGAGTTCCAGGTCAGTCTCAACTACATAGCGAGACCCTGTGTCAACAATGCAACAATAAAAAAGTGGACAAACAGCTCTTTTCTTACATCCTAGAGCTTTCTGGGCTTGCAGAGCCAGCAGAGGCTAGCCTGCAGGCCCACTCCAGGGTGGAGTGCTGTGCCTGATGCTCCTGCCTGACCGCCAGCCTCCACTGGAACTGCTTACAGACACAGCTCTCGACTGTGACTTAGCTTACTTAGCTCTTGGCTGCGTGGGGTCAGCGCCCAGTCCAATCCCTGGTCCTCAGAGCACAGGTCCTGGAAGGCTGTGCACCCTGTTGTCCGTGCCCTGAGAACCAAGTATCACCTGTGCCAAGTATAGTGCACAGCATGTAGCCAAGCCTTCTGCAAGGCAGCCCTCGGTTCTCAGCAGCTTCTACCCTGAAGATTTTAGTATCACAGCCATTTAAAAAACAAGCCTGGAACAGTGGCACATGTCCACAGTCCCAGCACTCTGGGAGGCTGAGGCAGGAGGATCACAAGTTTGAGCTCAGCCCGTGCGACTTAGTGACTTAGAAAGACCCTGTCTCAAAATTTAAACAAACAAACAGACAAACAAACAGGGATATAGCTCAGTGCAAAGGTCTGGGTTCAATCTCCAGTACAGAAAACAAATAGGCAAACCCTCAATAACATGCCTGTAGCCTTTGAATCTACCTAGAGTAAAAAATTAAAGAGAAAGTGGAAGGAAAGGGGGGGTATAGTGACTATAGTGAGTGCTTACTGAGCACCTACGATACTGCACATGACTCAAATACTCATGAGCTCTAAACATCATGTAGGAGAGATTCATGTTCCTTCAGCCAGTGGGGCAGTGGAGTCAGCGTGCCGGCCAGAACTGCTGAAGAAACCTTGCCCGCGATCTACAAGCAGTAAGGAGTGGGGCATCTGGATTGTACAGACTGCAACCGCAGGGCGTGTTATTAACTCCTGCTCTAGGAATGCAGAGCTGAAGCAAGGAGGGGTTCGGTGGTTTTCCCAGAGCCACCCAGCCAGTATTATGCATTTGTGCTGGGCTGCAAACCCAGCTTTCTCTGGCTCCACATCCAGGACACCTTCCATAAAACCACAGACAGAAGACAGAAATCTAGCTCTTGGCCATCCTTACCTGCTGTGATAGCCACAGTGGTGGACAGGATGTAACCCACACTGGCGATCAACGAGGAGTCATAGATCTGTGAAGCTTGACTTAAAAACCTGCGACCAAAGCACTCAGATCAGCGGGCTGCGGGGAGGCTCGAATGGCAGAGTGTGGCTTGGAATACGGGGGAAAAGCGACCCTCAGGGTCCTGTGAACGCCCTCCGTGTTACGGGCACCACAGTCTGAGGTCCTCAAGAGGTTCACGGCCCGGGGCCAAGCGGGCCACACCTTCCTGGTCTCACACCTTGGTGTGGTTCTTGACACCTCAGATAGGTTCTCCTCACCCTGTGTTCCCACCCGCTGAAAAGACCCCCTCTTGGTCCTGTCCACACGCACTGACACTCAGATACGTGGTCCCATTCTGTCCATATTGTAATTATTTAAACATATTTTTCTTTTTAGTTCAAAAATAATGTGACTATTGGGCCAGGGATTTAGCTCAGTGGCACTGTGCCTGCCTCCCAAGCTCAAGGTTCTGAGTTTGATCCCTGGTACCCAAAAAAAAAAAAAAAAAAAAAAAAAAAAAAAAATATTAAAAAAAAAAAAAAAAAAAAAGTAATTATTGCAATAAAAATAGGAAAAAAAGAGAAAAAACATCAGTCATCCCCAATCTCTCCATTTGTGCTAGGCGTTATGTTCACTTCAGGACAGATTTTCTGCCCTTCCTTGGGGCGGCGCTGTAGCCAGCATAGCACAGATGCACACACAGTGGACTTCGGTCCCAACTGCCCGTTTATGGCCTGGCCCCGACGCAGCTCCGGGTGCCTGGGAGGCAGTGCCAGACTGTGTGTGCTGGGCCCTCAAGTGCTGTGCCGACTGGGAGATGAGAAGCTGTGGCCTCTGGGTCATTGTGTGACCCCTGGCCGCTTACACAGAGCCTTGCCATTCCCGGGGGCTCCCTGGGGAGGACTGGAATTTTAAGTAGGACTAAAAATTGTTAATGAGTAAAGACGGTAGTCACACGGGAAGCTAACGGGTTTGGGATGCCATCCTGGGGATCACGGGGGATGCTCTTAGGTCAGGACTGTTTTTCTCATCTGTGAGCGGAGACGCTGAGCCTTGCAGAATTTGAGTAGCGGAGAGGGGTGTGAGCCCTGGGCCCGACATCCAGGTCCAACTCTCAGCTTTTTCTTCTTATCTTTAACCTCTGCCTCAGGTCTCCGTGTGCAAAATGGGGACAGCGCAGCTCCTTCCCAAGTGTCTGTGAGGACCAAGGAGTGTGCTCTTAAGCACAGAGCGAAGCGGCCCTGCTGAGCTCCCATCAGCAACAGCTACTGCTGTGCTCCCTCCAGGCCCCCTGGCTGAGGGACACGCAGCCCAGGCCCGACCTTCCAGGGGTACTTGGCCTCACATTGCCACACTGTCTTCTGACTGATGCAGGTTGCCACCTGCAAGATTCCCGAAGCACCTGTTCTCTGCCAGGCCCTCACCTGGCCACAGGCCTCAGCTGGGAGCAACACACAGGCCCCGTCCTCGACCAAAGAGTCTGCTCCAGGCTTTGTGTCCCCAGTGGCACAGAGCCCCTCCGTGGGACAAATCAGCTCCCCTGTAGCTCCTGCGTCCTCACTGGAGGCCAGACACTGGTGATCTGAATGTTCCTCCTACCCGATGGCTTCAAACCCCAGTGGAACTGGGCCCAGAAAATGGAAAATCTGAGTGGTGGGGCCAGGAGGGAAAGACCTTGCTACTCACGCAGCCTGGTAGACAGCGGTGGCCACCATGCACACGAACATCACATAGAAGATGGGGTAGTCGAGCTGCAGGTTCCCCTGGATGGACAGGATCATCATCCCAGCCACAGCCTTGACTGTCACCACTGTCATGGAGCCTGAAGACAGGGAACAAGGACATGAGGTGGCCTTAGGGAAATGCAGGGAGTGAGACCGGAAAGTCAGTTATAACCCCAAAGAGCTGAGTGACCAAGATTTGCATGGATTGGGTCTCTTTACCTCCCCCGACGGCTAGCACAGCAAAGGGGGGACGAGAACAAGACCCTGACACCTATTTGCAAACACCGCCTCTGAGCTCCACAGGAGTGGGCAACAGCACCCAGTTTTCTGGACCCGAGTGCCTGGTACTATGCCCAGAGCGTGGTGGGAGGCCCAAGGGTCTCGGAACAGACACATGAACTGCTGACATTAGTCTCATGGCAACCACAGGAAGACACATGGTGCGTGGGGAGCTTAGGAGTTACGGCTTTTTAATGCTCGGTAACTTGCATTTTTGAAAACACGGCTGTACTCTGAGAAGTCTCTGACATTTTGGAGCTGTGTGTCTGCACATACGTTCCCACTAGGTGTGTGTAGCCTGCACTTATGTGGTGTGGACATTATAGAACATGGACAGAAAATGTAACTTATAAGGTGGAGAAGAAATTCCCTAAATTCTAACTTTCTTCCTATGCACCGCTGGACCACTTGTGCTCCTCACAATGGAGACTGTCATTGTCTCATGGTACGAAAACAGCGCCTGCTGGAAACCACCAGAGCACTGCTGAGCAGGAGTTAGACAACCCATGTGTTCGACACAGGAGGCCCTCGTCCTGGCTGCACAGCTGCGCTTTGGGCCCTGCCAGCTGCCCAGTCAGCTTCTCCTGTCAACAGCCCACCACACCCAGCACCTTTCAGGCCCCTTGGCCGCGAGGCTACAGAGCCCCAATTCTGGCAGCCACAGAGGACCAGCCCTCGCCACCACTGTCCTGTTAGCGAGGACGAGACTGCCCACTGCCTCAGTGTAGCCTCGCTATTCCCAAAGAGAGAATGTTTGGAACTCACATCTTTCTAACATGCTTTGAAAACACCAGGGGAAGAAGGGCTAAGTCACACTGCCACATGGATGAGCCTCATACACACCCTCACTGAAAGACGCTGGTCACAGAAGGCCATGTAGTACAGGGTGCGGCCAACACAGATGGTGAATATTTAAATTAAAAAAATTATGACTGTAAAAGATGCATTGCCATTAATGCTAAAAATGCGCCCTCCTCCATTGTTCGTGTCACTTTTTTTTTTTTTTTTTTTTTTTTTTGGTGTTTTGAGACAGGGTCTCACTATGTAGTTGAGACTGACCTGGAGCTCACTATGTAGCCCAGGCTGGTATGGAACTCAGAGATCCTCCTGCCTCAGCCTCCCAAGTGCTGGGATTACAGGCGTGCGCCACCACGCCTGGCAGTGTCACTTTCTTTTTTGGTACCAGGAATCGAACTCAGGATCTTGTACTTGCCAGTCAGGTGCTGTGCCACTGAGCTATATCCCCGGTTCTGTTAGTGCCACTTTCTGAAGTAGTTTCACGAAGTCCTCTTTCATGGGTGTCTTTAAGAGGCGTGTTTAAAAATACAGTGAAGGTAGGTGCCAAATGCCATCGAATGCAAAGACACACTTGTAAGAACATTACAGTGTGTTCTCATCCACCTTATGCACTGGATCTGGCACTGTGCAACTTCTGGCTCCTCCCCAAAGTCGAAAAGACGATAAAAGGTAAATGTTTTGAATTGATTCAGGACACTGAGGCAGACGTAACAGGGCGACTAAAGATCCTTGTGAAAAAGGACTTCTAGAGCTGCTTCAGAAAGGGGTAAGAATGATGGAATACATGTGTTCAAAGCGAGGGGGAGCATTTTGAGGGAGATTAATGGCAATGTGTCCTTTATCATAATAATTTTTAAAAATTTCACACACACAATAGTTTTTTTAATCACACCTCATGCATGATTCCACTTGTATAAGATGCTCAAAAAGGCAAGTCCAGAGTCAGAAAGCCGGTGAGTGATTACACGGGGCTGGGAGGAGGGGACGGGGAGTAACTGTTCATGGGCCTAGGGTTTATTTTGGGGGGACAAAAAGTATCTAAGATTAGAGTATGATGATGCCTGCACAACTCTGTGAATATTTTAGAAACCATGAACTTGCATACACTGAATAGGTGAATTTTATGAATTCTATCTTGATAAAGTTATTTTTAAAAAAATAAATCAAAATAATGCAAGCCCGTGCTCAGTGACAGATACCCATGCGGTTATGGCCTGTTGCGTGGTGGGGCTCCTGGAGGAAGACAAGAGAAAGAACTCACACTGGGCCCCTGTGCTCATCTCAGTCCCCTCTCCGCCCTGCCCTCTGGGTGTTCCCATGTGCCCGTTTTTAAAACCTATTTTTATTTTGTTTTGTTTTTTGAGACAAGGTCTTGCTATGTAGTTCAGGCTGGCCCTGAACCCACTACATGGACCAGGCTTTCTTCTAATTTGTGGCGATCCTCCTGTCTTGGCCTCCTGAGAGCTGGAATTACAGGCATGCACCACCGTGCGTGCATCTAAGTGTGCATTTTAGCATGAGGACAGTGTGGCTTGGTGGGAGTGCCTCGAGCAAGGGCCATGGTGTCCACAAGAGGCAGCACCCAGCAGCCCTGTGCCCTCTTCTCCACAGGTAGCATATGAAGCAACACACAGTTATGTCCCTGCCTCAGCGACTCAGGAGCCATTCTCCCTCATACCTGTCCCTCTAAGTGGGCAGAAAAAGAGAGATTGGGGACAAAAAATCTGCCTCTGCCTCTGGATTCCCAGCCTCTGCTGCTGGGCACAGACTCCTGGGGTAGTAGCAGCTGCTGAGAGGCTGACCGCTGATTTCAGCTGCCATCAAGTTCTGCTTCATTCTTTCTTGCTGTCACTGCTGTTCCCTAAAGGTGCTGCCACGTGTGCACCTTTCACGTGGAGCTCCCTGGGGCAGGGTGTGTCTGCTTCCTTCTGGGCGACAGACGCAGGCCCCTGTCCCTTGGGAGGCTGGAGATTTGAGCGAGATTGCTGGGAATGATGGGAGCTGCCCCCCAGCAGCGGGGACCAAGCAATGACCATCACCGAGCTGGCCTCGAGCAGCTTCTGGAAACAAAACCCCCAACTCCTTCTGGGGCTAGTGCTGGTGGCAAAACTCCACCCCCAGACCTCTGCTTACCGAGCAAGGCCACCAAGAGGAGGATCACGACAATGTTGTTGATGTTCTTCTCCTTATAGAAGTACAGCAGCAAGCAGAACAGGACAATCTCAACTAGCTGCGAAGGGACAAGGAGAGGTCAGGGGGCCCGAGGGAGGCCCGGGTGCAGATCCCTTCAGAGTCCTGGACATGCTGAGATGAAACGGGGCCAGACACCCCACATTTCCCAAGGTGCTGACAGATCCGGAGGGAAAGAGACAAGCGGAGCGGACATGTGCGGCCCCTGCACAGCACAGAACGCAGCCCTGTTCGCCTCAGGCTGGAGCTCGGGGTGCGGACACCGACCTCACCTCCGCCTGTCCAGGTCAGCCAAGACGCATCAGGCTGAGACCGTCCCTCCCCACTTCACCGCTCCAAGGGCTGCCCCATTAAAACAGGGCCAGTCAAAGAGGGAGAGGCCTGTTCCCTGAGCAGTTTGATCAAGAATACACCTGCCTGGGGCTGGGGATTTAGCTCAGTGGTTCCACCACCTGCCTCACAAGCACAAGGACACCTGCGTTTGATCCCCGGTACCAAAGCAAACAAACAAACAAACAGCAAACAAAAAAAGAATACACCTGCACACTCCCTTCCCCAACCAAACCTCGGATGCAGAAAAGAGAAGGCATCAGGAGTCTTGGAGGCCTAGTGGAACGTTCACCTGACTCTAAACCTGTTGTGTACCGGGCACTTAACCTGTAAACCTTAATTACTCCTCTGGTGATACACAGTGAGAACTGTAACTCACAGGGCCTCACTCGGAGCTGGACTCTCATTATAGGCCAGACACTGTGCTAAGCACTTTACATCAAACTCGTTACATCGGCACGATTGTTTTATGAAGTAGGTATAATCACAACCCCCAGATAGGCCCTGTCAGCAGGCCCTAGGGAAGACGGTGGCACCAGGGGCCGGATGCCCTGGCTGCACATCTGGCTCTGTGCAGATCTGCTACCTCTCTGGGCCTCAGTTTTCCCACCCACGAAATGGAGAGAAAAACACTTCCTTTATAGTGCTGTGGAGAAACTCTGGGATGAGAGCTAAAAACATGGCCGGCACAGCGCTGGGTACAAGACGAGACTGCACCAGTAGCTCTGTCAGACACCTCCGCTGTTTCCCTTGGTCGGTTTATGTGTGGACGTTAAGGCAGGAGGTAACCAGGGCAGAGGGCTGAGGGCTGGCTGGGGCTCATGAGAGCCTCCAGTGTCTCTAGTCCTTTGATCAGGTTCTATGCACTGTGTGAATGGTGGGAAAAATAACATTCTTAAAATGCTTACAATTTTAACTTTTTTTCCCCTCATCATAAAAATTTTCAGTGGTCACTGTAGAACTTTTGGATGATGAAGAAATATGAAAGATGAAGAAATAAAAATATGGACTCCTAATTCCATCTCCCAAAGAGAACTCCCTGGCATTTCTGCCTTTCTACCCAGCCTTTTATAGATATGGTCTGTCTACAAACCTTCCTCACTTTCCTCCGCAAACATAAAAGCTGGCCTCCCGTGATATGTGATGTGGTTCTCGACATCATTGCTCAGGACACGAGGGAGGTGGCATCTCCCCATGACCTCTGTACTCACGTGGGTGCCGTCTCCTGTCTTGGGACCTCTGATTCACTGCTGGGTCCTTGGGGTTCTGGTGCCTGGGACTCGATCCCCCCTCCTGTTCTCTCAGGGAAGCACCGGGGCCGCCCCTTACCATATACAGGAGAAAAGGCCAGCTCACGAGGTGCCTGGTGATGTTCTCGCCCGTCATCTTCTCGTGACTATTGGGTGCGAAGGTCACCAGCAGGTAGGTGCCCACGATGGCCAAACCACAGCCAACGAAGGACAAGATGTAGCGCCCTGCGGGAGGGACAGGCCTTTAGGGACTTGCCACAGGGCAGGCCCAGGCAAGCAGGACACTTGGCAGCCAAAGAACAGCCTTCCTCTTCGACGCATCAAGACAGTCATTCCCAAACCAAACTCTACGTTATCACTTTGGTTTGTGGACCCTCAACTCACAACCAGCCTGACATAAGAACAACTTGGGTTATGACCGGAATATACTAGGGAAATTATTGGTGTTTCTGGTAAATTACGCACATTATACAACCCTTTTTTTAAATTATGAAAATGTTAGTTAAGGGGTGCTTTGGGAGGTTTGGAGAACACATTATGGGTTATTTGCATTATTTCTTATGGGGAAAAGAGTCTTGATATACAACCAGCTCAAGTTACAACCAGCCCTCGTGAATGAATTGAATTCATTAGTCAAGGGTCTACTGTACTTTAAAAGAGGCACGATCCTTCTTAAGGTTACTCTTTGAATGTTACTTTAAACCTTAGAGAAGCTTTAGCAGAGGGTCCCCTGGTGCACAGTGTGCGGTGTACACTCTCACAAGGGACCAGGAACACAGCCACGGCACCAGGTCAACAGAGGGGCCACCCGGAGGACCCACTTGCACCCTCCAATCCTACAACCCCCCAACAGCGTACAGTGACTGTGACTTCAGTTTCACTGATTCCGTGCTTGGAGTCAGCGGCTGCATTCAGCGTTCCCTGTGTCTGCTGGCTCGGCACTGTGTGCGGGGGGGTTTGTCCAGGCCATGTGTGACATCTCGCACAATTCGCACTCCACTGTGGCCGCTGCTGGAGCAACTCCACTCTCTGATCATAAAGATCAAGATGCTGTGGACATTCTCGTATGTGCCCTTTGGGAAACACGCATGTGGATCTCTACTGGGTATAAAACCAGCAGTGTATCCCCTGGGGTGTTGGAAATGTGGAGTTTGATTTGGGAATTACTGTCAATTTTCCAAGTAGCTGTGCCAGTCAGGTGTGGTGGCGCACGCTGGTAATCCCAGCACTCGGGAGGCTGAGGCAGGAGGATGGCTGTGAGCTCAAGGCCAGCCTGGGCTACACAGTGAGTTCAAAACCAGGCAGAATTACAGAGCAAGACCCTGTCTCAAACAACAACAATAACAACAACAACAACAACAACAACAACAACAACAATAGACAGACAAAATCTCCAAAAAAAGTGGCTGTGCCAATTTACACTCCGAGGAGGACAGTGAGAGCTCTGGTTGGGTCCCCGTCAACCCGCGTGCTCTGTCTTCTCACTGTATCCACTCTGATACTGCGCTGGGTTTCATGACACTTCCCAGGGAAATGTTTTAAAGCAATACCGCCCCCCTTTATGGGCAAGCTGATAAACCCAATGAAACAAAACAGCAGAAGTGAGCCTTCAGAGCCTCAGACACATCTTTAAAAAAATGATCTCCTTGTTTCCCAACTGGTTGTTTCCCTCACTTCTGGGGAAACGAACAACAGAAACACTGTCACAGTTCCATCCCACACCCCTGCCGCAGGCTGCTGGGGCCTGCTTCTTCCCTGGGGTCTGGTCACATCCTTAGTCTCAGGGTATCGAGCCTCGCCCCAGCAAGGTTGAAAAGGGCTGAGAATGCTGAGCCGCAAATGTGGTCACAGGCTGTCTGGATTCTGCCGAGACAGAAGTGAAGAAATCTGTTTCATCCACCGTCTCCAGAAAATGTCACGTCCTAGCAAATAACTTTTTTCGTTTTTAATTTCAGTACTACTAGGCTTAGTAAATGTAGAAAGTGCTCAGAAATCGGTTGTTCGATTGTTTAGTGAATGAATGAGCCCAGTTATACTCAACAGAGTAAGCCTGTTGTCTTAAGTTTTCTCCACACAAGAAAGCGTCATACTCACTTCCATACCTTCGGTGTACAGCATAGGTCTAGTGCTGAGTGAATGTTTGCCAAATTGAGTGGAACTTTAGGCAGGGTGGCCATGTACAGTCGTGCAGGTTGCTCACTGTACAAGGGTACCTGGCTCACAGGGTGAGGAGGGTTAGAATCTAGCTCATGCTCTGTTCACCAAGGCTCATGTCCACAAAGCTACAGATACCCAAGGAACCACCTTTTCCCAATTTCCATAGGGCGCTGCCTGGACTAGAGTAGCTTTCGTTTCAGAGATGCTGGAAGGAACAGGAATCTCTATAGTAGTCTCATAATCAGCCCAAGGTTCCCTCTTACTCCACCCGGTTCCATCAGGACAACTGCAGATCAGACTCTTCTTGGCCATCGTGGGTTTGCTGAGCCATCACCTCCAAAGCTTCTGGTTCTGCTTTTCTCAGTGTGAGAATCTTTCCCTTTTTAGCCTCTTTGTCCCTACCTGATCTTGTTCTGTACTAGAGACTCAGAACAGTGGTTCCCGAACCTGGCCGCGTGGCCACGACATCTTGGTAACCACCTTGCCCTGAAATTCTGTTTGCATTTTTTTCAGCACACAGAACAGTCGAGAGCACTGTACTGTAAGCCCCCGAAGCCCCGCCACCTAGGTCTATGCTGGGCGTTCGGTTACATGGGCTGTAGCAGGCATCCACCCACCTCCATCCCTCTATCCCCTCACTGCGCCCTCCTGCTTGTGGACGTGTTCAGATTCAAGTACAGGCATCAGTATAACCTCACCTGGGGCTTCATGAGGGCATCACTGCCTGGCCTAGCCCCAACTTCATAATCTCCGGGTACCATCGTGTCCCTCTTTATCTCCTATCCATGCTGTCAGGCTCTGCGCCCTCCAGGCCTTTGTGCCTTCTGAGCCCCCTCTCTTCACTCTCCTCCCTCCAGCTACATTGGCCCGACACTGAACACACTAAGTCTGTGCCATCCTCAGGGCATTTGCACCTGCTTTTTCCTCTGGGTAGCACACTCTGCCCACAGGCCTGAGCATGGTAGCAAGATCACCTCTTCAGAGACTCTAAACCTTAAGCAGTCTGGGCCAAGTGTCCCCATCCCCCTAATCTGCCACCAAGCATTCTATTTTCTCAGAAGTATTCACTCTGATCTAAAGTTATTTTGCTTATTTATCTATTTACTTGTTTATCATACCCCCTACCCCCCACACTTGCACCCATATGGACTAAACTCCCTGTGAGAGCAGGAGTCCCGTCTGTTCTACTGCTGTAACTCAGCACCTACGTGTGTCACTCAATAGGCGATGTTGGGGGAACCCTTCTTCCCCACTCCTTAGGTTTCCATGTGGGACCTCCATGAATGTAACACTTGTGCCTTTTCTCCATTGGTCCGTGTTTCTCAATGGGTGGAGTTAATCTATCAGAAATGTTTAAACATGGGAACTTTGCTCTCTGCCCTTTATTCTGGGAACATATCTCCTCTGTAAAGCCAAATGATGTTTCTTTGGTTGGTGATATAACTGGCAGCTGGGGATTTATGGGGGTGGATGGGCTGTGAAGAGTCCATTGGGCTTTACTCCAGTGCTGCAGGCCCAAATCCTACTGGTACTGGTACAAAGCAGAATGCCTGGCGTCTGGGTTTTAGCCGCATTGCTTCAGTCCCTAGGCAGGGGAGCAGTGTGCCTTTGATCAGGCCTCCTAAAGTCTCTATAGATGCTCAGTTATTCCCGACTGAGTGGAATGCATAGAGGTCCATTCAAAAATCTCTCAGGAGATTCTGATGTCAGCTCAGCCTGGGACCACAGATATAGGAACCCACTCTCAGGAACCCAGAGAGAGCCGGACAAGAGGCAGAGGGCCTCTCAACTGCGAGAGCTGCATTTATGGTGAATAAAAAGCACAAGTATTAATGAAGGAAGGGCTCAAATCAATAAACTTACTCAGAAAGTCTTTAGGTTTCCATTTTTCTTTGATGAATATGATTCCTATAATGGCGCTAGCTGGAAAAAAATACATGCAGGAAAAAGAAGGGTGAGGTCACTGTTAGCTATAGGGGTCCCTTTGCCCATGGCCTTTGGGTTGGCTCATCTAACCGGAACATTCTGCTTCCCAACCTCCCGTGGTGCTCTCAGAGATCGGTCCTCTCTGTTCTTCTATCTCAGGAACGGGGAGTCTCTCTGAGCCTTTCTCCTAAAAGCCAGGTGCACTGTGTTCTGAGTACCTGCGGTGCAACAGGCAATTTACACAAGCTATGTCTGACACATTCATCCTTGCAGGTGGGTGTGTTATTACCTTACCTGACAGATGGGGACACTGAGGCTGGAATAAGTGAAGGACCCACTTGAGATTGTATAGTTAGTGAGGGAGATTTGAACCCAGGATGGCTGGACCAGAGCTCTTACTCCCTCCATAGCAACGCTCCCCTCTGACACCCCTGGTTCTTTTCTCTCCCTACCTCTTCCACATTCACAAAGAGACTCAAGACTCCCTGCGGCCAGGCAGTGCTGTGGGTGGACCTGGCTCGCCAGCCCCTTTGGCTTCTCTGGCTGTGTGCCCTTGGGGGAGCCACTCTCCCTGCATCTCAGTTCTCAGGTCTATGATGTGGTAGTGTGCTGGGTCCAGCTGCAGTGGCATAAATGTAGAAAATGGGCCAGTAGGGGCCGGGGATTTAGCTCAGTGGTGCCACCACCTGCCTCACAAGTGCAAGGTCCCGAGTTCAATCCCTGGTACCAAAACAAAAATAAAAACAAAAACAAAACAAAAAAAGGAAATGGGCCAGAAGACAGCAGCAGGAGACTGAGCTCTGTGATTAAATCACTGGCAGGTACCACAGTGGGAGGAAATAATCCTGCCACCACGTAAATCAGCAAACACTATAAACCAGGTGCTTTCATTCTCCTTTCCCACTTCTCAGTCTCCTCTCTCTATCCCTTCCTCTCTCTGCCTCCTCTTCTTTCTCTTCCTTTTTTGTTTCTTTCTCTTTCTGAGACACATTTGATCAGACTAACACTGAAAATAACTGTCTTTCTGAGCTACTGGGGTGATCAAATATGATAACATATGTAAATCATTTGAATGTTCAATAACTAAATTATTATTAGTATTACTAAAGTCCTTGGAACAGTGATAGCTAACTTAGTACTTAACGAGTGGTAGTTATTTTCAATATTATTTCAATATTATTTTCAGCCTCAGGAGCTGTAAGGGCCCCTCAGGTTCAGTAGCTCATATCTGAAATCTCCTTATTATTCAGTCTATTATTTTTGAGAATTTGGCTATTTATTAAACTTCAAGGACTAATATTGAAAGTGCTATAGCACCAGGCACTTAGCTCAGTGGTTCCGCCGCCTGCCTTGCAAGCACAAGGACCCGAGTTTAATCCCTGGTACCAAAAAAAAGAAGAGAAAGTGCTAGACACCCAGCCACTATTTCCACACTGTGAATAAAGGTCCTGGGAGCCCTTTAGAGATCCCAGAAGTGGGCAAAGCAGAGAAAGATGGGTACAAATCTATCTCTAGTGGTTGAGCAGTAGCATGACTGCAGAAAATGGGCCAGAAGGCAACAGCAGAAGGTGGAGACTAAGCCAAATGACTTGCCTTAATGAGAAGCATTTAAATTACATTTTTTTAAATGCTGGGAAAAAACACAGCATATTGAGGACCCAATCACCTTGTAGACTTTTAGTTTATCAACACTGATCAAAAAGAAGAGGAGGGTCTCACGCTAGGATAAGAGAAAGCAAATCGGATCCCACCCTTTGCCAACTCCTGGTGACTGGCAGCCGCTGCCGGAAGCTCAGAGGATTCTCAGGGCCTCGCCAGGCTGGCTGGGGCGGAAAGCTAAGCCCCAGTGGGGGCGTCCATTCCCGTGACTGTGTCCTGCCCGGAGGTAGGAGAGACCCTCTGAGCTCAAGGAGGAGCCAGTCTCCCACGTGCCGTTCTCCCTTAAGGGCAGGAAGGACCAAGAGGTCGAGCTTGCTGGCAAAATGGAAGGCAACATTCAGAGGGAGTTCAGGGTCCTTGCTCCTATGTACAGAAAGCTATTATTCACTAATCCCACAACATTGTTTTTAAAAAGAAGAACTTTTAAAAATTCTGTTTAATCTGTGATCTCATGGAGATTAAAGCTCCTTTATATTTTGGTTGGCTCAAATGCTCTGGGGTTCAGTGATAGCGGAAATCATAGAAAAACAGCAGGTAGGAAAGGGAATGATGCTATTAGAAAGCTATCAGTGGGTGTAAATAGCTCAGAGTTGAATGTGCATATCTTAAGAGGTGCACAAAATGTGAACCCTGTGAATGCTTAGCTTATCTTGATGGTATAAAGAAAGGTTTATCTCCTGATACAGCAATAAAAACAATTCCAATACACTTCCTGAATCTTAAGCAGGTTCTGGAGCCAGAGAGCCCAATGCACATCTCTGCCCCACTACTCACTCCCAGGACAATTCAGGGGAAGTCACTTTGTCCCTGCGTGCCTCGGTTTCCTCATGTGTAAAATGAGGAGCATGATAGTTCTGTCCCTGGAAACCCTGCTGGGAGGGTTAGAAGAGCACCAGAGCAGGCCTGATATGTTTAAAGCCCTTTGTGGTGCCAGCTATTATTCCAGAAGCAAAAGCTGTTTGTTAACAAGCGCCTTTGATCCCAAGACCACGTTCTGGACACACAGGCAGTGCATTCAGGGCAAGGGTGGGGTCCGGTCTTACCTATCACTGAGACCGCACTGAGGGGCACAATCAGCGAGAGCGGGGCGAAGGCGTAGGAGGCAAACACACCCGTCTCGCCCAGCAGCATCAGGAACAGGCCCAGCCACCATGTCTTGGTCTTGAAATAGGCCCGGGGGTCCTTGGAGCCTGCCAGGCGGATGTGGCAGTACTTCTATAAATCCAAGAAGGAATGAGTTTGCTCAGACATTTGGAGAAAAAAACTGCTGTGAAGCATGTATCCTAAATCTATACCCACCTTAAATACAAATGCAGTTGGGCCTGCAGAGAAGAGTAAAACAGTAGCTGTCTAAAAACGAGTTGGTTATTCTAAGACAGTTGTGCTCCAGCTGGCTGAGAAGCCTTAAAACTTCCCTGGGGAGTTTTGCAAAACTATACACCTGGGCCTGATGCTCAGATGGGTTCAGGAGAGGTGTGGCCAGGGCCTGGAGATGGGCATTTCTAATGCGTGGCATGGAGAGCACGGTCCAGTGTGGGAACCATGGTCTGAGGCACCCCACTTTGGCCAGGCCCTTGGGTGACTTCTCCCTCTGGCTGCAGCTCCCAGGAGTCCCCATATTTGGGGTATCCGACAGCCACGCTCCCTTCTGCATGACAGCTGGCAGCTCCTGTGCAGCCCTGTGGGGATTGGTGTGTCCTGCCCTCCCTGGGGCGCACACCTGGCGGAAGCCAGCCAGTGTTTTTTTCTTTTCTTTTTTTTTCTGGAAATGTGAACTTGGGAGACAGAAACCAAGGTAGTAAGTGAAGAAGACCAGAAAGTCAGATTGACTCAGAGGTCAAGTCTGCAATCTTGGGGGGGTCACACCCCAGCCACTTGCATGCAGATAAATAAGCAGAGAGGTGAGTCCACAGAGGGAACAAAAAGAACCAGACAAAAAGGCG